AAAGAAAAAAAAAAAAATAAAAGAACAAACTTCAAATCGATCAATTATTACTTGGAAAACTGGAGATGGGAACCATTCAGGCTCACCTCTACCATCATCCATGCACAAATACATCTCAGCATTCAAACGAACCCCACCATCTTCAGTGAATATGAGGTCGAGCGCATGTTGGCGGCAAAAGCTGTCCCTCAGCTGTTCCACCAGCCTCTGAAGCCTTCTTTTCAGCTCCCTCTGCTTCAAGCCCTTCTCGTCATTTCTGGCGAAGGATGAGAGCTTAATAGCCGCACGTGGTAAGAGTTCTGCCAGGGATAGAGCGTTTGCTAGCAGGGCAATCTGCTGGGTCTCTGTCTCAGCAAGGTTGACTATTTTTCTTCCAGAACCTTCTAGATTCTCGGTCTCAAACGAGGCTGGGAATGCGTTGATCCTTGTGCTGACGTAGGAGCCGAACGATTGGAGGACACCCTCAAGGGCATGCTCGGATAGCTGCATGATGACTAGGGAGCCGATGTCTTCACAGAGCTCCTGTGGGTTATGATGATATATTGTCATTCTTTTGTATGTCTAACTTTGAATACTTTTCAGTTCTAACTGGTACATGTCAGGCTTTACTCACATTTAATTCATACTCAAAATTTAATTCAACTTTAACTCAACCACACTATCCTTAATATTATTCATATAATTAAATAATACAAACCAATCCTTCTTATACGTCACATCAACTTTAATTCACTATTCATCCACTAACAACTAACCATACCATCTTTTTTCCAAATTAACTCTAGTTAAAAAAAAAAAAAGAAATCCACTTCGAGTGAAAATTTTTGTATACAAAACATATTTACACACACAATCATTCATTCCAAAGCCAATTTCACACACCTGAACCATCGAAGTGAACCGATGAGCACTGCTAGACAGCTTATGCTGCGTCGCCACAACGCTTCCCACCGCCGGGAAGCTCAACACCCAGTCGTCCAGCACGGCAACAGCAGCGTGCACAGATCGATCCTCTTGAGCCCCGCAGCCAGCGCTTGATCCAAATACGGCCTGAACACCCTAAGCAGCGTCGGGCACAGCGCCAGC